TCAGGGCCGGGGAGGAGTGTAGGTTGTTGGATTGTCGCATGGTGAAACTGTAGGATTCCAGATGTCATCAGTGTTGGGCGAGCTCCTTCAGTGAACTGGAGGGCTTTGGAAACATGCAGAGGCTGGTGAAAGGTCCCGAGTCAGACAGGCGATTCATGGATCTGTCAAGCTGGTTTTAAGTGGAAGGCTGTGGAGGTGACAGTTTGGGTGATTTTCTTGGAGTTGAATTTTAGGCGCACAGAGGAGCCTGGGCTGATGACAGGGGCCCCAGTGGAAGTGGAATTCCATGGCTCAAGCGAGATTGTATCAGTAGAGTCTGAATAACTGGAGCCCATTGGAGGAGATAAGGATGGTTGGTACAGGGTCCTCCAGTCAAACAGGAGTTGTGGGCTGGAGCCAAGATCTACTGGTTGAGCGGGAGGCTTATGGAGGAGCCGTGGTGGTTTCATTGCCTCCCGTTGAACCTCAGGGCCGGGGAGGAGTGTAGGTTGTTGGATTGTCGCATGGTGAAACTGTAGGATTCCAGATGTCATCAGTGTTGGGCGAGCTCCTTCAGTGAACTGGAGGGCTTTGGAAACATGCAGAGGCTGGTGAAAGGTCCCGAGTCAGACAGGCGATTCATGGATCTGTCAAGCTGGTTTTAAGTGGAAGGCTGTGGAGGTGACAGTTTGGGTGATTTTCTTGGAGTTGAATTTTAGGCGCACAGAGGAGCCTGGGCTGATGACAGGGGCCCCAGTGGAAGTGGAATTCCATGGCTCAAGCGAGATTGTATCAGTAGAGTCTGAATAACTGGAGCCCATTGGAGGAGATAAGGATGGTTGGTACAGGGTCCTCCAGTCAAACAGGAGTTGTGGGCTGGAGCCAAGATCTACTGGTTGAGCGGGAGGCTTATGGAGGAGCCGTGGTGGTTTCATTGCCTCCCGTTGAACCTCAGGGCCGGGGAGGAGTGTAGGTTGTTGGATTGTCGCATGGTGAAACTGTAGGATTCCAGATGTCATCAGTGTTGGGCGAGCTCCTTCAGTGAACTGGAGGGCTTTGGAAACATGCAGAGGCTGGTGAAAGGTCCCGAGTCAGACAGGCGATTCATGGATCTGTCAAGCTGGTTTTAAGTGGAAGGCTGTGGAGGTGACAGTTTGGGTGATTTTCTTGGAGTTGAATTTTAGGCGCACAGAGGAGCCTGGGCTGATGACAGGGGCCCCAGTGGAAGTGGAATTCCATGGCTCAAGCGAGATTGTATCAGTAGAGTCTGAATAACTGGAGCCCATTGGAGGAGATAAGGATGGTTGGTACAGGGTCCTCCAGTCAAACAGGAGTTGTGGGCTGGAGCCAAGATCTACTGGTTGAGCGGGAGGCTTATGGAGGAGCCGTGGTGGTTTCATTGCCTCCCGTTGAACCTCAGGGCCGGGGAGGAGTGTAGGTTGTTGGATTGTCGCATGGTGAAACTGTAGGATTCCAGATGTCATCAGTGTTGGGCGAGCTCCTTCAGTGAACTGGAGGGCTTTGGAAACATGCAGAGGCTGGTGAAAGGTCCCGAGTCAGACAGGCGATTCATGGATCTGTCAAGCTGGTTTTAAGTGGAAGGCTGTGGAGGTGACAGTTTGGGTGATTTTCTTGGAGTTGAATTTTAGGCGCACAGAGGAGCCTGGGCTGATGACAGGGGCCCCAGTGGAAGTGGAATTCCATGGCTCAAGCGAGATTGTATCAGTAGAGTCTGAATAACTGGAGCCCATTGGAGGAGATAAGGATGGTTGGTACAGGGTCCTCCAGTCAAACAGGAGTTGTGGGCTGGAGCCAAGATCTACTGGTTGAGCGGGAGGCTTATGGAGGAGCCGTGGTGGTTTCATTGCCTCCCGTTGAACCTCAGGGCCGGGGAGGAGTGTAGGTTGTTGGATTGTCGCATGGTGAAACTGTAGGATTCCAGATGTCATCAGTGTTGGGCGAGCTCCTTCAGTGAACTGGAGGGCTTTGGAAACATGCAGAGGCTGGTGAAAGGTCCCGAGTCAGACAGGCGAGTCATGGATCGGTGAAGCTGGTTTTAAATGGATGAGCGGGAGGCTTATGGAGGAGCCGTGGTTGTTTCATTGCCTCCCAATGAACCTTTTGGCCGGGGAGGATTGTAGGTTCTTTCAATCTTCTCTGTATTGCGTCAGGATTATGAATGATCTTCATTTTAAAAAAGTCCCACTTTAATATTTTGGCTGTGTTAGATTGGTTATTTTTAGTTATTTTTAGTCCTTCTCTTTAAAATGAATGTGGTGGTTCTTAGTTGTACTATAGTTTTTTTTTATTCCGCTTCTTTGATAAATTTGTGCTTTATAAAATATCTTGCAGTCCATCATTTGCATTGCCTTTCCAATCAATTGGATCTGTTTTCCCCTAGTTATATTTGAACGTCATTATGTAATGTATGTTCTGGAAAGTATTAAAATAAATGTGCAGCTCGCTGTATAGTCTTGCCCTTACAAGTCTCCCCGTTGATCTCGATGGTTTTTGTTTACTTACTTTGATGAAATTTCCCTCCTGATACTCAGTTGTTGAAGAGCCAAGGTTGAAGTTCTGGTTTTAGTTGCTTTTGTGGTCTGTCTTGGGGAATTGGTTGTGTAAGATCCTCCAGGTAAATTTCAGGGCCACTTATATGCTGAGTTTCGTAAAAGTCCTCTAGTTGAACTGGATTTCTTTGGAGAAACTAAAGCTGGATAAAGTTACAGCTTTCAAACTGGAGGCTTTGATGGAGCTGATGTTAGTGTATGTCCCCTGGCCTCCTTTCCAACCTTGATTGGGTCAGAATGTTACAGATGTAACAGATCCGTTGTAACATCATAATAGATGCTTGAAGTTCTACCCAGTTTGCTTTAAACACTTTTTTCAAGAGACTTGAGGCCTAGTGCCGTGTATCTGGACACCCTGATATTGCCAGTTTTTTGAGATCAGAAGTTGAAGTCTTGTTGCCCACGTCTCTAGATGTGATTGTGGTTGAGTGGAGCCTCCCATTGAGACCTTTCTCTAACTACATAACATGGCCGATAGCACACAGAGCAGTCAAATAACCCTGTACTTTGTTTCATTTGTGACCCACAGAATCATGGGACCGGATCTTTTTTTAACCTACAAGGTCCTGAGACAATACATTGCTGACTTAGACAAGTAAACACCAAGGCTGCCTGGCTGAAATGAGCTGCTTAGCTCCATTTGCTTCACTCAGCCTTGCCCAGCAGAGTCATCCCAGTGATTTGGGATATCTCTTTCCGTAGATGTGACTAAATATCAGAGGGCAGGCAGAAGTTTTTGGCATCATTTGATCTATTCACAGGAATGAAGTGTCCTGCTGAATAAGACATAGAATAGATGAATACCATCTCTATCTCTTTACCTCTCAAAATTTCAAAAGAAATGAACTCCTTTGATTTAGCATCCATGAAACAATAAGAGGCACGCATATTAGTTTATAAAGTCTCAAACACTACACATTTTTTGACAAAGCATATATACTATTAATTTTATAAGTTATACTTTCATTTTAATTTTTTTTTATCAGCAGTTACTTTTTTGCCTGTATGGGGCATTGATTTAAATTATTTTAGTTTTTTTTCCCACATTTTGTGTGCTTTGTGTGTGTGTGTATGTATGTATTATGGCCATTAAACAATAGTGAAACTAACATTCTGACTAGATAAAGATTGGTGCAAGTTTCAGTCTGTTGTTCCATATACTGTTTTATCCTGACCATCCACTTTTAGTTTCATTTCGTAGTTTCTTACAGATTGAGTGTTTATTCCCCTACCTTGTTGCATTGCATTGCCTTGGAAATTGTAGCTTGTACCATCAAGACTTTTCTACAACCTTCCATTTTGTAGATATTTCTTGGAATCTTTTATATGTGCTAATTCCACTTTGACACAATTTGTTACTGTGAAATTGTTTATTTTTTTTCTAAGCTTTTTTGGAAAAGGAGGAGATGAACTTGTAAGAATAATGAATGTTGTGGAAGAGTGTTTTCAAAAATATAGGACAGCAGCCTGGTAGATAAACCCTTGCCTTACATGCTCCAGGATCAGGTTAAGGGTCCAGCTGCTCCAGTTCCAATCCAGCTCCTTTTATGGCCTGGGAAATCTGAAGGATGGTACAAAACCTTGGGAACTTACACCCATTTGACAGACTCAGAAGAAGCTCCTGGCTTTGGATCAGCTCAGTTCCGGCCATTGCAGGCACTTGGGGAGTGAACCAGCAGACAGGATATCTTTTTGTCTCTCCTCCTCTCTGTATATCTTCCTTTCTAATTGAAATACATAAAATATCAAATAGAATGGATCAGCTATAATATATTGCTGTTTGGTTTTATTATTGTGCTTATATACTTCCAGTTATACCATTTTCTTGTTTCTACTTTCTTCCTTTATGTAGATATAAACCTTTCTCACCTGGAAAAACTGGCAAAATACCCAATTAAAATAGATCTGAAGAGTAAATATGGCCCTAGAGGAAACTTTCATTGTGCCGTTTTAGCTACTGAGAGGAATTTTTGCTTGCTTTTATGTGAATGTATTAAAAATACATATGCAAAGATGTACCATAACCCTTTATAGCTTTAGAATCAATGTGATTTTTTTGTTGTTGACATGAAGTACAAATATTCAAAACTACCCTGTGCCTTTTAATATTAGAAAATTTATCTGTGTAGGAGATGTCCTATCATAACATTGTCCTCACATTGTAGCATTGTTGTAACAAATCTTAGCTCAGTGTTAAGAAATATGTAAATTAATTATTATGGCTGTATTTTCATGAAACTGATTGCAGTATAATTTACACTTCATGTAGTTTTATCTGCCTTAGAATATTTTTTATAATTGTCTGAAAATATAAAACTGTATTTTAGCTTGTAGTCTGCACTCAGACCTTTCAATTCTTGCAGTAGATTTACTATAGTCATAGTAATTATAGTCATAGCTCGTTAATATTTGAATATTGATGTTTCTGCTTTGCCCCGTTATCCTTACCAGGCAAGCTAATGAAGAATACCAAATATTGGCTAACTCCTGGCGCTACTCATCAGCGTTCTGTAACAAACTCTTCTTCAGTATGGTGGACTATGATGAGGGAACAGATGTTTTTCAACAGGTAAAATTAGGTTTTTGTTATTTTGGTAGTATGTAATATTTATCATTATGGTTTATGTGTCTGTATTTGCCATATAAAAAACACAATTTATTGAATAGGTTAGTACATACCAGAAATATTTGTAATAAATTCTGTGGTGTGATTAAGTGATTACACCTAATGTTATTTTTATCTTTGTATAATTTTAATCTTAATATGCTAGATAACATCTTGACCTTTGCATGATTTTGTAAACTTTAAGTATAAGAAAGGCTTTGGATTGCCTGATTTTTTTTTTTAAGTCTGAAAATCTATGGCATTAAACCTTGGTCTGTGGTTTCTGAATTAATGCAGTGATGAGAAAGAGGACATGTTCTCTGTCATCTTACATTTGTGTGTTGGTTCTAGCCATCCATCGCACATCTGTGAGAATAATTGTGTACGTCTTCAGTGGGAAAGCTGCAGCGGAGGAAGGAACTGTTAACTGTGTTCTTAGTTTGATTGAATCAGTGATATTAAATGTATGTAACGTTCAGACCCCAACCCAACACATGGGGGGAGATAGACTTCTAGTATATGTATATATATATATATACAATAGGAATAAAGTGCCTTGCTCAGAACATTAAGTTCACAGATCCATTGTATCAAGGCTACATGACTTCTCGTAATTATGTGACCTTAAACCTTTAGCTACTTATGTATGAGAGAGGGGAAATGAAATATGTATTTTCCCGTAGGACTGTTGAAAGATTAAAATGAGATTCTGGTGTATTTATATATTTAGCTCTGTGCTTTGCTTTGTTCATTAAGTAGTTGTACTGTTACTACTGGAACACTAGCGAAAGTATTGGCATGCAGCCTCAAAACTACATTATTTTTTCTGCTAAATCTGATTTCGTAGGAATCAAGAAAAGGTAGGGTAACGGTAAGGGACCATGAAATGGAATAGGAGTATCTAAATCTTGGCTACTGTCATGCTGCCCCTGAACTGGCAGAGCAGTTTCAGATCAAGGATTAGCTTATGGTAAGGTGCTTTTTGCTGGATCATGTAAGAACTGGGGAGTCTGAACTGGTCTATTATAGTGCCAGTCCCACCCATTACTTAGAGGACTCTTCTCTTTTTTTTTTTTTAATTTGTACTCAGTTCATTTATATAAAAATGAACAGATTTCACATATTTCATAAAACAGATCTCAAAATCCTACTCTTTAATTTTGTTACAATTACAGTTAGATTTAAACATCAGTTTTTAAGGGGACAGACACACAAACCATAGCAAGCATGGTCAACTAATCTCTACCCATACTCTTCCATATTATTTGAAAAGTGCTTATGTAGGCAACATGGAGTTGAATAGTAGAAATGTGTAATACCAGAAAGAAAAAAATGGTTTAGGATGTATCTCTTAGGTACTCAGTTCATTTAAGCTAAGCTATCTGAAGCCCTATAACTTGATTTAGAGTCATCTGGAATATTAGACTTCCACAGTCACATGTCAGGAGGAAATTGTTTGGATCTTGACCGCAAATTGTTACTATAATTAAGCAGTTTTTAAATTGTGTCAGGTATGATATAATGGCTATACTGTTTGCTTTTGTTTTTCTTGTTATTTGGAAGTACTGGCCTATATTGCAAGTCATATGTCAAAAATCTGGGCTTTCATTTCAAGACATTTTTTATAATTGACAACTAGAATTGAATATACATTTCGTTGTTTGCTTCACAAGTGCAAATTAATTCAAAGTTGTTATTTTTAGATACTATATTGTAAATCATGTTATGGGAGTATTCTCTCTAGTATAGTTTCGAATGGAAATTATTTTTGAGAAATATTTCTTATCACAATTTAAAAATAATTAATAAATTAGCAGTAAAACTATCTGTAAAACTATCTCGGGGGATTTCTTTCTCTGATAATAATAAATACTTTAAAGCAAAATGTTGGTTTCTGTTGCATAGTCATCTTTATTTCACTAAAGAAAGGAAAGGCCTTGAGTTTTTTTTTTTAATAGGGAAACAATTCCACTGCGCGTTTATTTTTCATCAAAACCAATGCTTTCTAAGATAATTGTTTCAGAGGTAAAATCAAGACTCAATCACCATATCTCTGTGTTGTGCTTTAATTCAGTTCTCTATTTCAGTTACAAAATTCTAGAAACTAAAAGAATGAAATAACTGATGAAATGCACAGGACACAGTTTTGAAAGTTAATTATTTTGAGGACTCAGAACTTAGATTTGCAAGTTCTTTTTCATAGAATAGTTGTGTTAAAATTAATAAAAATAAATTAATCTTGGTGAATACTATGTTTCCATAGCTTTATAGAAAAAAACGTAAAATTTTACAGCAATGTGATACAAGAATATTGAAGTGTATTTAATATTTGATCTCATGTTTTACAGCTCAACATGAACTCAGCTCCTACCTTCATGCATTTTCCTCCAAAAGGCAGACCCAAGAGAGCTGATACTTTTGACCTTCAAAGAATTGGATTTGCAGCAGAACAACTAGCAAAGTGGATTGCAGACAGAACAGATGTGCATGTATGTTTTATTCCCTGCAGCTTTAGTAGTGCTCTGATTAATGTGGTTTGTTTATTGTAATATGCACACAGCAATATGAACATGTGGTATGTGTTTTGCATATTACGTTTCACACACAGAAAGGTATGGTTGACATCCATACACAAGAAGCTGAATCGTCATTGACTGGTTGAATTCAGCTGGTTTTACTAATGATTAATTAATTTGTAAAACATTAAAAAGTGCATGCTGGGCGCAAATTAATTTTACAGGCAAAAATATATTTTGAAAGTTCAAGTTATTATCTGAGAAATTATAATTTATAACAAAGATAGATTTTTCATCTGTCTTTTGGCAAATAGATTGAAAAGATAATTCCAGGTTTATAGCCTTGTGGAGAAATGCCTACTCACACATCTGGTCTTGATACTATAGATTGCTGGGACTATGCTAGCATTATGTTTCATTTTTAAGATTTTTTGTGAGTATACAAATTGAAAATAAGGTAGAAAAATAGTATGTCCAGTATGCTTCCAAATCCTGTTTAAGCATGTATTTGAATACATTATAAAATTATGTAGATTTTAATAGTGTTCTTGTAATACAAGCTCATTTCCTGCTTCTTTTGAAGTATTGTGTTGCTATGCAATACTTGATGTAGTTGATACCAGCCATGAAAGGTGATTTCAAGGACTATTTAACTATTTATAAAAAAAAAATAGTGAATTTGCATATAAGTTGTTGTGACTTGTCTGGGTGCCTCATTTATGTTAATAGATTATTTATAGAAATTTATAAATTTATAGAAATTTTTATAGAAATTTATAAATTTATAGAAATTACTTAAACATAAGTTTTTAGAAAATAAAAATAGTGCAAGTAGACCTGTGTGTGCCCTTCACTGGGTTTTAATTCTTTCTTCTAAAAAGGGAGAATAGCTTTCCTAGAATCTCATGGTGTAGTTTCTTAGCATCATTGTGCTAATGATAATACTACATTATCAGTTTAGCAGTTTTGTCTGTTGACTTAGTATCTTTTATAACACGTTCCCATCTTTAGAATGAGATCCAGTATACAGTTAGGCATTTCACTTAGTTATCATGTCTTTCATAAGTCTTTTTAAAATTGGAAATATTTTATAGCCTGTCTTTTTCCTGAAGAATGTAGTGTGTACTCTTGTTTTAGTGTATTGAATGAGTATGTATATTTTTAAATTATTTTAAAATAATTATGTGCAACAATTATGTGTTTTCTTCCATTAATATGATCCTGTACGTGCATATGGGATCATCCCTTTTCCCTCTTCCTTTTTTTTTTAATTGTTTTTATATAAAAGGTCAGATTACAGTGTAACAAGGAGAGACGGGAGAGAGAGTACACCTACTGTTTAACTTCCCAAGTGGTTGAAACAGCCAAAGCTCAGCCAGTCAGAGGTTTTGAACTAGGATCTTGTTCTTGCCTTCTCACGTGGATGCAGGGTCCCAGGCACTTTGGCCATCTTGTCCTGCTCTTCCAGGCACATTATGAGAGAGCTGGATCAGAAGTGGAGCAGGCAGGACTCCAGCTTACAGCCCTATGCGATCCCAGCACTGCAGGAAGAGCCTTGAGCTACCATCCAGTAGTTCTAGTCTGGCTCACTTACTTGTTAGTGGAGTGATATTCCTTTGATCTGCCTGGTGTTTGTTCATGATAGAATTCTGCTTTTGTATTTTCTACCAGTTTTTTTTTTTTTTAATGTCTGTGGTTCTATAATGTCCTTATGTACTTCGTTGCTCATGCTAGTTTTGAACATTTGACCAAAGTTTTTCCTGTTGTCCCACTGTATAATTACTTTTTTCTTTCATTTCTTTGTAATTAATTGGTCTGTGTGGAGCTGCCCTAAAATCAAGACAAATATCTTGTTTTGCAGTTCCAGCTTTGATCATGATTGTTGCAAAATGATGATTTTTAGCTATAGTTGTCTCTTTGTATTTCTGACTGATGCTTAACACAGTCAGCTCACACATTCTTTCTCCCCCTCTCTTTTTCTATGTATGTATCTATATCTGTCCACCCACGTGTATATCTGTGTCTTTATCATTGCTTGGACTTAGATGCTGTTTTGTATCATGTATATTTTTAAAGTTTCTGTTTATTAATGATATCCTAGCTTCTTACCTACACAAATGATAGACACAAATATTTATTCTAATGAAGTGTATAGTACCTTAACAATTAAATAGTAAAAAGATAAAATGGGCAAAGAAGCTGAATAAACTTCTTCAGGGAAAATATAAAAATATGGGAAAATGCTAAGCCTTGCTAGGTATCAATGAAATCTAAATGAAAACCACAGTGAGACCACAGTAAGACCACAGTATACCTGTTATCGTGTTTACACCCTATAAGTCATATCACAATTTTGAGGAAATAGAGGAATTGGAAGCTTCATACAATGCTAGTAGAGTGTGTAATGGCACAGTTATTCTAGGTACAATTTGGTAATTCCTCATTCCATTACTAGGTATCTACACAAGAGAAGTGAAAGTATTTGTGTAATAATTTGTACCAGAATGTCAAGAGCAGGATTGTCAATAATGACCATTGAGAGGAAACAACTTAAATGTTTGTCAATTGAAGAATGAATAAATAAAATGTGGTATGATCACAAAAGGGAATATTATTCGGAAGGAATGCATTACCCATATATGTTACTATGTGAATGAATGTGGAAGATATTAGCTATGTGAAAGAAAATAGTGGCTCTACACCTCACATTATGTTAAAGTTCAGAATAGGAGTAACTTTAAAGAGGGAAAATGGGTTACTAGTTACTTAAGTATGGAAGTTGGGAGGGATAAGTGAGCTATTGTGGTTATTAAAATGTTCTTAAGACAGTAATGATGGAGGCATATTTGGGTTTACTAAACAATGTATTTTCAGTGGGGAAATTATAAGTAGTTATGATTTAACTCATTAAAGTCACGAAAATAGCTTCTTAAAAGTTCCCATTTGATATAGTATAAATCTTACATTCCTTCTTACCCTTTCTGTTTGCTGTTTGATTGCATGTTCTGTGGGTGAACCTGAACAGCATTGGGTTAGATTATGTAAATACATTTCATGTTCTTGAATGTATTCACATAAAATTGAGAGTGATCTTTTTCACGTAGTCACATTATCTTAAAGCACGGTTTTTTGACTCCTTAAAGGTGTAAATATCGTGTTAGTGCGAGGTGTAATTTTAGGATGTAACTTTCTGAGTTTTTTGCTGTTATTGTTGAAGACTGGCAGAACGACAATATGTGTAACAGGAAAAATTAGTATTTTTCTTTTCCTTTAAAATTTCTCATTGCATTTTTTGCAGATTCGGGTTTTTAGACCACCCAACTACTCTGGTACTATTGCTTTGGCCTTGTTGGTGTCACTTGTTGGTGGTTTACTTTATTTGAGAAGGAACAACTTGGAGTTCATCTATAACAAGACTGGTTGGGCCATGGTATCTCTGGTACAGTATCATATTTTACGTATTTCCTATGTTTTTGAAAGATAGTATAACTTGTCCAGTGTTAACAGCATGCAGCATATTATTACTCTCATGAAAATCAAATTTCAGTGAGAATTAATGTTGTAGGACTTGGGTGATTCAGTTTCAGTTCACTTTGTCTAAATTATGCTATCCTCCTTTTTAGTGTTAAAATGTAATGTCTTGATATATTTGGCATTTACAAGTACTACATAGACATTTTTTGAATGTATTGAAATATGTGGGGTTAATTAGAATAATTTCCAACTAAAAAGGTTTGGAAATATTCTCATTTATTTATTTTTTCCCGTTGTAACTTTCTTGGATTTTGTTTACCTTGTGAGTGGGAGAACATCTTTTCTTTCTCAGATTGGGTATTTATAGCTCATGAAAAATTATAAAATAATTACACATCATACAAAAGTATGAACTTAAAAATTAAACTGATTTGGAGTTTCTTGAAATTTGAGTCCACCTGTACTTGCCTTGTCAGAGCCAGATCAGGTGATTTTGTGTACCTCTGGTCAGCATGCTTTACCTTGATAGCTAGTAGAGATATAAGAACACCACTAGACTTTGCTGTAAGGAATTTCTTATAGGGATGCAAATTAATCAAGACATAAAGTGTAAAGTGTGCTATGATGGAAATAAGCAGTTATTGCCAGAGGAATACCAAAAAAAAAAAAAAAGGTACCTGACCTAATGTAAAAGGAATCATTACATGTTTCCTGGACCATATGTAAGAGTAAGTAAAATTATAGGCCTGGTACAATAGCCTCGTGGGAAAATCTTCGTCTTGCAACCAGCAGGGTCCCATGTTGATGTTAGTTTGTATTCCAGCAGCTCCATTTCCCATCCAGCTTCCTGCTTGTGGCCTGGGAAAGCAGGAGAGGACAGCCCAAAACCATAGGAACCTCCACTTAAATGTGAGACCTAGAGGAAACTCCTGGCTTCAGATTGGCTTGGCTCTGACCATTGCAGCCACTTGTGGAGCGAACCAGTGGAAGGAAGATCTTTCTCTGTATCTCCTTCTCTCTGTATATCTTTCTTTCCAATTAAAAAATCTTTTTTTTAAAAAAGTAAATGAAATTCTACAGTAATCGGATCATATCAGAATTTGCAAAGCTTAGGCTTTTGTGAGAATTAGAATTCTGTATGGCTAGCTAGCATGATGATGTCCAGACAGGAGTGATTAAGTAATGAAGTTGGAGTGAAAAGAATGGAGCAGTCTCATCCATAATGCTGGTGAATATGGGTTTTCTGCCTGGGCACAGGGAAGCCATGGGATGATGAATGACATGTTTATTCTGTTTAGTCTGGGAAATTAATTGAAATGTGTAATGTGGAAGTATGACTATGAGATAAAGTGGGTGTGATCTATCTCCCTGGTACACAGATACTATTTCAGTTGATGCAAAAGTATATTTTCTTTTTATTATTGTTATCATGCTAAACTGTTTAAAGCAGTTAATAAAATTGAAATTTAAGCATTGCATAAAGTATATGCAGACAGCAATACATCAGTTACATCTGTGGTGAGTAGATCGTGAGCTAGTCTGGACCATGTTGTGGGTGGATTCTGAGCAGGTCTGGGCTTCAGACTGAAGATTTTTGCTCTACCTACATCTCCCATTTTATGGGTGGATCTCAGGTGAGTCTGGACTAGTAGCTTGGGTGCTTTACTCCCCAACTACAGCCATGAAGCATTGAAAATACGGTCTGACTGACCCAGGTGTCAATGGTGCCAGGCAAAGCTCTCACACCATCTGAGGACTTGGGGATGTGGGATTACTGGGAGTCTGGGAGATGGCATGAAGGGGTTGGGCATGAGCAGAGACCTGAAGGTTCATTTCCAGGTAAGGAATGGCTTCTGAGGAACTTACAAGGTAAGACCACTCTACTAGATGTGCTAGTATATGGAAGCCACCAGTGAGTGTCAGAAAAGGGAACGGGTACTGTGAGAATGTTGGCTAGTCATTCCCCATCATCGGGTACTGGGATAGTTGAGAGGCTGAGTATGGCCTCTCCCTTTCTCTCCCCTCATACAGAAATGGGAAGAAGAAATAAAAAATTTGGAAATAATGATCACACCCACTTTTTCCTAGCCCTAAATCTTTTCCACTCTGATCAACTATGTAAATGTCTAAACTAATAAAAAAGAGTTTAAAAAGATTAAAATGAAACAAATGAAGGCATCAACACAACATATCAAAACTTATGGGACATGATCAAGGCAATGTTAATAGGAAAGTTCATCTCAGTCAGTGCTTATACCAAGAAATTGGAAAAGCACCAAGTAAATGAGCTAATCGTACATTTAAAGGAGCTAGAAAAACAACATGAAAGCATTCCAAGATTAGAGGAAAAGAAGAAATAACTGAAATAAGGAGGAAATAAATCAAATAGAGACCAAAAGAACAACATGAAGATCAATGAATCAAAGAGGTGGTTCTTTGAGAAAATAAACAAAATAGATTCCCCAATAGCCCTGCTAATATAAAAAAGGAGGGAGAATATAAGAATCAATAGGATCAGTGATGGAAAAGGGAAATACGACAGCAGATACCTTGGAAGTACATAGAATTATTAGTAATTATTACAAGCAACTACATGCCCACAAATCAGAAGACCTGAAAGAAATGGATAGATTTTCGTGCACATACAATCTACCAAAACTGAATGATGAGGCAGTTAATCATCTAACTAGACCTATATGTTAAGGACTGAGTTTGAATCTGTAATTAAAGCTTTCCCAACTGTAGTAAGCCTTATAACACATGGCTCACTGCTGAATTCTACCAAATATTGCAAAATCTTACCCCAATTGCCCACAAGGTGTTTTCAAACAATAGAAAAGGAGGCAGTCCTTCCAGAATCTTTTTATGAAACTAATATCACCTTAATACCAAAGACAAATAGAGATGCAATAGGAAAAGAATACTACAGACTGATATGCTTGATAAGAGATGCAAAGGTCCTCAAGAAAGTACTAGCCAACAGGATCCAGCAGCACATCAGGCAGATTATTCACCCAGACTAGGTGGGATTTATCCCTGGCATACCAGTGATAGTTTCACATTCGCCAGTCAATAAACGTGATGCACAACACCAAAAGATTTAAAAGTAAAATCAATATGATCTTCTCAGGAGATGCAGATGATGAACTAGGATTTGATCCCATTTGTCCGACTGCAATTTCTATATATCTTTCCACAAAACTAGGCTTTTCTATGTCTAGGCATCTATCAGATGTGTTAGACGTTTAACCCACCAGATATAGTGAGCCACTGTGGTAACCGATCCATGCAGTGGAAAATAGGATGCATAAATATTAAGTAAAATAGATCTGTTTAAAGATCAGTTTTGTGACCTGGATGGTTACATCATGCAGATTTCTTGTTTTGCTTTGTTTTTAATCCTTGAAAGCTAATTAACTTGGCCTGGCACAGTATACTCTAGCATTTTCAAACATATACTTGAGAAAGGAATTTTGGCAGCTGTAGTGCTCCCCAGTGGCAGCCTTTTAGGAATTGGTAACAGGCTGCAGAGAGCAGACATGTTTTGAAACAATGTGTTTGAAACTCTGCAGTGATGATAAAACTTTGAAGTAAAAAAATATTAAAGTACTTTTATTTTAAGCTCTCAGCTTCCATCAATAACATAAATACAATTGTCTGGTGACTTTTACTTGTCTGTTGATGGCCCACAGATATCTTTAAGTCATTTAGGAATGAAGGTCAAATATGTAATAATTTTTTTCAGAATTTTCTGAAAAAGTCATCATGATCGTTAATACCATTACCACCATCAAAACTGATTCTGTGTTTACAACCTGGAAATCTGGGTTTATTCATTTCTAATTTATTCTGGTTATTCAGATCCTCATATTTTCAGTATAACTGATACCATATTTCTTCTAGAAATGAAAATCCGTTTATAAATTTGCCAAAATGCTGTGATCTGCTTTGCAGAAACTCTCAAAGCATTGACTTTGCACAGTAAAAGGAAATCCCAGAAGTTAAAACAGTAATGGATTATATATAGAGACAAACCTCTTTAGTAATAAGTAAATAAGTAAATAAGCTAAAAAGATATATGGAAGAGACAGTAGTTGATGAAAAAATAAGCCTTTTGATGAAGCATTATCTCCATGCTAATTTCTTAGTGAAAAAACAAGATCTAGGTGTAGTTATCAACTGTATCCTTACCATTGAATCTGTTGAAAAGTGCTCTCCTAGGAATACTGGGTTTTTAAGTATCTACTTCTATGCAGATAATATAAGAAGGCTGATCATTGTTCTGTTTTTCCTTGTTGTGTTCCTTTAGGTTGTATATGACTCATAGGCAAGACAAAAATGATAAAGTGTAGACTGGATAAAAAGTTACTCATACTGCTTTAGAACAGGGAAGGGGAACATCTGCAGCATATAAAGCATAGAAAACTGGTCTGTGTAGTTTCCTGGTTCTGTTTTTTTTTTTTTTTCCTTTAAAAAAAAACCAAAAAGCATTGAGGGGGAAGCTAATAAATAGATCCTCCTGGTCACTTGCTTACTAAGGAGAAAAAGTCTCGTCACTACTTGTGTATGTTGATTGTTCATGAAGCCAAGTGTGGGTTGTTGATTAGTTCGGAAAAGCAGGGACAGTTGATGCCTGAAAGAAAGACAACTTTGGGCCAATGGTGTTCTTAATTCATCAAGAAACTATAGAAACATGTAGCTGGAGTCAGGTTGCTATGTTCAGTTCATTGTTGAAGCACCTCCTTCTGTAAAAGATAATGTAGTAGAAAACACTACAGTGAGGTAGGAATTTAAACCTGGATTTTTTTTTAAAAAAAGCTTTATTTTTAATGCAAAGTCAGGTATACAGAGTGGAGGAGGGACAGAGAGGAAGATCTTCCATCTGATGATTCACTCCCCAAGGGACCGCAATGGACAGTCCTGCACTGATCCAAAGCCAGGAGCCAGGAACTTTCCTCCAGGTCTCCCACATGGGTGCAGGGTCCCAAGGTTTTTGGCCATCCTCAACTGCTTTCCTAGGCCACAAGCAGGGAGCTGGATGGGGAGTGGAGCTGCCAGGATTAGAACTGGTGCCCCTATGGAATCCTGGTGCGTTCAAGGCTTTAGCTGCTAGGCCACTGTGCCGGGCCCCTGGATTTGTTTTTGGTTTTGGCTTTTGCATATAGTCCCTACTGTTTAGAATTGTTCCTGGAATGTAGAAACCACTTGATATATACCTGTTGAACAAGTGAAAATTGTAAATAATGTGAGGTTTAAGGATGTTTTGAACACTGGTTGGTAGTTATATCAGTTGTGGGTAGTCCAGGGCTGGGCCTATTCATCTTTTCAGTATATTCATGTTTTTCTTTACTCACATGCTTATTAATCATTCACTTAGAGTGTGAACACCTCTTGTGTATTCAGAACCGTGAAGATCCATGTAGATTACAAAACTAGGACAAAAAGCGAACAAGCAAACACTTCAGACGTTAATCCTGTCCTCGGGGACCTTACTTTCCTCCTGAGGAAGGTCTGATCAAAATACATCCAAACTGCTGTATTTGCAAAATTTGTTGTTTTTAGAACTTTAAAAGAATTGCCTACAGGTGAGAACCAATACTTTCCAAACAGATTGTCTGGAGGTATGCTTTGACTTAATTGCAGCAATGTCTTGGTGGCATTTTTACTTGGCTTTCTCCATCCTACTGTTTGGTCTCATTTTTGCCCTAAAGCCAATGCTTAAGAAAAAAAAGAAAGAAAGCAAACAAAAACAAAACAAAACAGTTTCTAATAGAATATGAAAATCTGAACTTACAATGTTAAATTCTTTGTCAGAACAGAGAAGTATGTGCAGTTATTTATGATTTAGAAACTTTACTAATCTTGAGATTTAGACTTTTTGCTGGTGAAGAATGGGTAATAGCTTTATCTAGAAAGCTGCTCTGAAACAATATGGAGTAGTTTTATAACCTTGTGAATTCAGCATTACAACTTAGGGGGCCAAATGCTGCTGGTTAGTAAATCAGCCTGCCATGTCACCATCTCAATTTAGTGCCAGGTTAGTGCTAATATACCTAGGTAGGCAGTGCTTAGGGCCGTGGTACCTACATCGGAGACCTGTGTGTATCTGGTTCCTAGTTTTTCATTGGCCCAGACCTGGCCGTTGTAACCATCCGGGACAGTAAAACCAGAATATCGAAAAACTCCCCTCATCTCTCCCTTCTCTCTCTCCTGCCTCTTTCTCTCTTCTCCCTCTCCTCTCTCACTCCTCTCTCTTTCCCTCTTCAACACTCTACTCTGCTTTTCAGCTGATGAGCTAAATAAATACATTTTGAAAAAAGTTATAACTTAATAGCCATCAGGCTTTTCCTTGGTAAGCTTCGGTGGCTGAGGTGAGTCAGATGTGGACTGAAGGTTGACGGGGTCGTAAGGCAGCCCTGGAAACAGTGCATTCTTCTGCTGGATTAAGGTGGTCTCACACTAATGCAGTGATTAGCATTAAGGAAATTGGGCAGATCTACACTGTTTGACCAAACTAACAGAAGAATGAGAAAATCTGCTTATTCTACTAAGTATTAAAGTAGGAAAATAACTGATTCTTCTAAACATAAAAAGAAGAACAATTCATTTTATCTAAACTCCTTCATGAATGGGAAAAAGGAGAAAGGCTGTGAACGTTCTGAAGAGAAATTAGTTTTCAGTTGATAATGTAACAGGGACAGGGTTGAGCATTTGATATGGCAGTTATATACCTCCTGGGATGTCCTCATTGATGTCAGAGTCCTCAGTTTGTGTCCTTGTGGCTCTGTTTCTGATTCCAGCTAATGCATACTATGTGAGCGTTAGTCAGGGGGTCAGTGCCACCATGCTGGAAGACCTGAAGTTCTTCACTTTAGGACTCAGCACAGCACTGCCTCAACAGTTTCAGGCAGTAGGGGTGTGCTGGCAAATGGATGGTACCTGTTTCTCTGTTTATCCACTCTGTTTTTTTGTCTGCTTTTCAAATAAATGAATAATTTTAAAAATCTGACAGGGATATTTGAAAATGGATACATGATGGGCCAGCCCTTGTCATGATTATGGATGGAATTATAATAACCAATATAGTAAAAATTCATGATAAATAAAATGGTAACATTAGCTGTTTGTTTCAATAAAGATCTTCTATGTGAAAATTTTTTTCTATGTGAGAGTTTCTATGTTAAGAGGACTAAAAATATCTCACACTCATGATGTATCTCATAATGCATGCATGTGGTATTTTATAGGTTAAGAGTCTGCTAGGCAATTAAAAATAATGGGAAGCTTCCTTAATAAGCATTGATTGCACATTGGATTTGTTACCAAATGGGAATCCTTGAGATAAAGAGGGCGCAGCGCGGTGGCCTGGCGGCTAAAGTCCTCACCTTGAATGCCTTGGGATCCCATATGAGCACCAGTTCTAATCCTGGCAGCTCCACTCCCCATTCAGCTCCCTGCTTGTGGTCTGGGAAAGTAGTCAAGCATGGCCCAAAGCCTTGGGACCCTGCACCCATGTGGGAGACCTGGAAGAGCAGGTTCCTGGCTCCTGGCTTTGGATCAGTGCGGGACTGTCCATTGTGGTCCGTTGGGGAGTGAATCATCAGATGGAAGATCTTCCTCTCTGTCTATCCTCCTTCCTGTATATCTGACTTTGCAATAAAAATAAATAAATAAATAAATAAATTACAAATGATGCATTTTAGTAAAGTCTATGGGCAATGCACTATAAAAATGAAAATTTTCATTAGGTGGCGATCTAGTTTTGTAAATGAAAAAAATATTTAATGTCAAATTCAGCAGGGCTAATGAACAACATGTTTATGCAAATGAATTTTCTTTATCTGTACCATGGGAAAGAAGCTGAGGGGTCAGTCTTGTGGCAAATCAGGTTGAATTGCTACCTGCATTCTTGCGTCTGTGATGAAAGTCGTATCAAGTCCCAGCTACTCCACTTCTGACCCACTCCCTGCTAAGTTCCTTGGGAAAACAGTGGGAGATGGACCAAGGCTGTGGGCCCCTACACCCCAGTAGAAGTTGTTCCTGACTTACCTCCGATCTGGCATTGATCTCTGGCCATTTGGGGAGTGAATCAGTGTCTATTCCAATAGACCAGTAAATCTTTAATAAAAAAATACTGAAATTTCATTCATGCATTGTCAGAATATCAAAAGCCCTCCTGAATCAGTCTAATAAAAGATATGCAAAACTCCTGTGCCAGAAACTCAAATATTACATTTTTAAAGCCTAAACAATATTGAGTGTAACAAATTTAATAAGTTGGAATTCAACAATGTAATGTTCATTCTACCCCAGGCAGATTCTTAGAAACTCCCCCTATTTTAGTTTGTTTGATGGTTAGTGGAAGCTGTCAACGAGCAAATTTTAATGAAAGTGAAAGGGTAGGAAATAGGACAGTCATTGAAGAAGAACAGTGCTGAAGAACTTGCACAAATATTTCTTACAATGTAAGTAAATATTACTGCATGGTGTTAATATCATGAAGAACCCCATGATGCGATTGTATTAACCTGTATTAAGACAGACTCAGGCTTGTAAGTTCAACTGGGTCAAGTGAGGTGATTTAAGGGGTAATCATGGTGTTAAAAAAAATGATGGAAGGTCCAGTGCTATGGCTTATGTGACTAATTCTCCATTTCCAAGTGCCAGCATCCCATTTGGGTGCTAGTTTCTGTCTCTTCTATTCCACCTCCCATCCAGCTCCCTGCTTGCATGCAGGATGGCTCAAGTATCTAAGAGCCTGCTTCCATGTGGGAGACCAGGAAGAAGCTCCTGACTCCTGCGCACCTCAGCTATGTCCATTGCAGCCATTTGGAGAGAGAACTGGAGGGTGGAAGATCTTTCTGTTCCTCCTCCTCTCTAAACCTGACTTTTCAATGAAAAGAAATAATTCTTTTTAAAGAATGGTAGAGATTCATATGAGAATAAGTGCATTTCATCTCTCACCTGTGAACTATATTTACAAAAGACGTGGAATTGTGAATTTTAAGCATTAAATGAAAACATTAACGTTGTCGGAGAAAAGCTTGCTTACTTGTATATTCTCATGATTGAACTCTAACTTCTGTCTCATGCATTTTTCTCCCTTAACTTCCTTGTAATGCCTTAGATCTTAGAAATTAGTTTTCCAAATATAGGATTCCCCCTGTAACAGCTGCAGCATAGCAGAAGTATAAATAATATCTCTGGAATATGCTTGGCTTGTTTTTATGTGATTTCTTTCATCTCCAATTTGTGAATGTATTATGCCATGTACTTTGTTGAAAAACTTTGACTACTTCTATAGATCTAAGTGCTATATGCACCGTGACTATTGATTCTTGGTGATCCAGTCTTACACACGAACAAAGTTAGGTGGATCTAGAAAGTAAATTCCCTTGGATTCTAACTTCCACTAAGACATCAGGCCTTTCCTCTCTGCTTCTGGCTGGATCAGGGTAGAACACAGTATCACCTAATCTGTCTCATGCAGATACTGGAAGTTAGCCAGTTTCCATCGCTAACGTACCTCTTCTTCTGAATTAGTAACCAGCTTTTATATAATTGTAAGCTGAGATTCAGGGAAAATCAGCGACATGTGCAGCCCAAGTTAGTATGCCAAAGAAAAGTCTTGTGGATCATCTGATAAATGATTCTTAATTCTAGTTTCATGATGACACTGTTAAAAGTGTAAAAGTCTGGTATTCTTTCACTTATATGTTGAAAATTGAACCTTGTTTTTCAGTGTATAGTTTTTGCTATGACTTCTGGCCAGATGTGGAATCATATCCGTGGTCCTCCATATGCGCATAAGAACCCGCACAATGGTCAGGTGGTAAGTGTGCACTTTCTCAGTATTAATATGCTGAACTTTGGTCATGAGAGATTTATATATCAAACATTATGTTTAGTGTTTGGTGTTATTTGCTGCTTCTGTCATATGCACACACACACACATACAAAGGGAAACACGCATATACACATGTACATACATGCACATAAACCTGTGCATGCCTGTGGTTGCTTTATTGTTGAGCTTTACAAAATTCATTCACTGTGTTGGTGATGTACAGTGTACTTACATAAACTACTCTTTAGCTTTATGGGCTGTGTTAGCAATCAATATGTAATAGGACTAGAGGAGATAGGCACTGGATCCAGAGCCAGCCTCCTGCCAGCAGTAAATTTGTTTTCTGAGGAAATTAATTAAAACCTGATTTAAAAAAAAAATCCTGGCTTTTACTACATTAGAATGTTAGCAAGTTTTTGTCACAGGATTAAAAATGAAATTGATGTATTGTTGAATTAGTAGTTGAGGTCATGTTAGTAATTGCTACCAAATTCATTTAATTTAGTTTCCCATCTTCCCTTTCCAAAATTTTGGTGGATCTGGGATATTGTGATAGGTCGACATAAGAAAAAGCTCCCTGTATCTTTATATGATATTAATGAAGATTAATAACATTTCAAGGTTTCTTTTTTTTGTTTTTGCCTTTTGTTTTGAAAAATATGTAGATACTAAGAAGCTAATAAGAAGAGCTAATTGTAAATTTTCAATTATATTCATTAATACATTCGTTAGTTCATTAATAAATTCATTCTCATAGTTTTGTGAACATTTTCAGATTTCTATAGATGCAAAAGGTACAGAGTCAATAGGCTCTTTGGATACTCAGTTGACATTTTCTTACTGTGCTTGTATGTTTCTGAAGTCTCTTGGTTTCCAGAGAGAATAGATTCTCCAAACTATTTTCTTCAATTTTTTAAAATGGAACTTTACAGTCAGAAAGATTTGGAATTTACTCCAGAGGAATGCTCTGTTCCCTTACCTTGGACTCCTCACGCTAATCCAGTCTTCTGTGTGAGACTCCCTAGAGGGTCCTGTTGAAACGTGCAGCCCTTCTCACTCATCTTCCTGTCCCCCCATACTTTTTCCTATTGTAATTTCTCCCATAATACTTAGTACTTTGTAGCTTATTGTATATTTACTTATTTGATACTATTTTTTGGTCTCCCTTTTGCCATGAACCCAGTAATATTTAATATTAATATTTAAACTCCTATCTGTTAGTAAATGTTAGTTTAGGAAATTTTACATTATTTTTATTACTGATGTTTTCTTCCAAAGTAGTTTTCTTGAGTTAATGTAAAAATATAAAAATTAATATGAAAACATATTACTTATATTTGTATTCACATTATTTGCAGCTTGCTAAAGTACATGAAAAATTGATCAGTATATTGTTGTGATCTCCAACTTCTTGACTATCATCCACCAATTTGCTAATTCATGATATCTTGGCCTCTGGCACATGTTTTATTGGAATAATCCTAAAGGACTTTGTCTTATTAATAACAACCAGTGCTATCCATCAGTCATTGAGAATATGTCAGGCATCACGCTATGGAGACTAAATTTATTCTAAATGATACCATGATTATATGGTATTACAATATGAATATATGTGGAATTGAATTACCAGTTAAGATTTAAATCCAAAATGATTTGTTTTCCATGTTCTATGTTGGGTACTGTACAAAGAAACTTGATTTAAGGTTGTTTGTAGTCCATCTTATTCCTTATAGCTAAGCTTTATTTTGCTACCTCCTTTCTTGTAATATCATCTACTTCTGTCAAAGCATATCCATACTTCAACTCAGGTGATCTACTATCCCGCTGAAATTCATCCCTCTGCAATAGCCCTGGAATTCCATCCTCTTTATATATTTATGAATATATGATATCAATCCATGTATGTATCACAGATTTTTCATTGTATTGGTTTTTTAAGTGTTCTTTATTTCCTATATGTGTCAAATTCATTTACTTTTATTGGAAAGTCAGAATTACAAAGAGGAGAGACAGAGACAAAAGTCTTCCATTTGCTGGTTCACTCCCCAAGTGGCTGCAACAGCTGGAGCTGAATTGATCAGGATCCAGGAACTTCTTCCAGGTCTCCCACGCATTGTAGGGTCCCAAGACTTTGGGCTGTCCTCTACTGTTTTCCCAGGCCACAATCCGGTAGCTGGATGGGAAGTGGAGCAGCTGGAATATGAACCTGTGCGCATATGGGAACATGATGCATGTAAGGTGAGGACTTTAGCCACTAGGTTACCATGCCAGAGCCAAGTCGAGTTCTTAAACATAAGAAATTTCTGTTAATTTTTTTTTCATTTGTACAGCTTGTATATAGTTGCTCAGCAGGAAAAAAAAAAAAAAGGAAGAAACAGAAAGTTCTTCCATCTGCTGGTTCACTCACCTTTGTTCTCATTGGCATGAGCTGGTACAGGCAAGATCCAATCAATATGTGGGTAGCAGGGACCCAAGCACTTGGGTCATGTTCGGTGCGTTGGCCTTTTACTTGGGCCATTACATTAGCAGGAAGCTGGCTCTGAAGTGGAACCAGCGGGATTTGAAGTTCCCCGTAGTGGATTCGGCACTATAGACAGCTTAACCTGCTCCCACCCTTGAATATTTATTTTTAAAGATTTATTTATTTATTGGAAAGTCAGATATACAGAGAGGAGGAGAGACAAAGAGGAAGATCTTCCATCCCCAAGTGAGCGCAACTGCCAGTGCTATGCCGGTCCGAACCAGGATCCAGGAACTTCTTCCAGGTCTCCCACACGGGTGCAGGGTCCCAAGGCTTTGGGCCGTCCTCGACTGTTTTCCCAGGACACAAGTAGGGAGCTGGATGGGAAGTGGAGCTGCCAGGATTAGAACCGGCAACCATATGGGATCCCGGCATGTTCAAGGTGAGGACTTAAGCCACTAGATCACGACGCTGGGCCCAAATACTTATTTTTAAGTTACACATTAGAAACAATTTTTTTATTGACTTAGAGATATTTGGGATTTTAAAAATGTAAAAGAAATTCTCCTCCATGTTTCTATATTACTATCTTTAACTTTTTAAAATTTTTTGTTATTATTTTCCATTATATGCCTTTGTAGCTATGGGGATTCTCTCTTTTCATCCATTTTCCTCTCCCAAACCCCCCTCTATTATTATAGTAGCGTAGTCTTTTAGTAACAGTTACAGGTTTAACATTCTGCTATTGAAGTGCATCATAGCATTGTAGGTATGAACCAAGATAGTGAATTAGTATCATCTTGTCATAGTGTATTTAGCTGTTACATTGGGAGCCTTTGCTGTAATAGAGATCGGTAGTGCAGCATATCTTCAGTTCCCAGCATGTAGGCTCCATTATATTCGTTTATGAGAACATATGTTCATACTTGTTCACCTACTTAACTGTTGGCTACTTGATATTTTGCATGAAGGAATTAATATTTTACAAGATGAAACTGCGTAAATCTTGGGCAAAGATGCTGTATTGGCACAGAGAAAATATTTAAGAAAATAGAATATTCTGTTTCAAAAATATAATTTGAAAAGCAGGGTGTCTGGCATAGATGCAGAGAGTGGATTGAGTCCCTCCTGCTTGATTTGGATGCTGGTGCTTAAATGCTCTGTCCTCTCCCGCATCAGCAGGGATCTGGGTGACATGTGGAGCATTCCGGACTGCTAACAGCCTGTATAGGGTGCCAGTGACACGGGTGGTTGCTTTATCCACCGTGCCACTGTGCTTGCCTGACATTCTTGTGTTTACAGCAAAACCTTATACACAAATACCAGCTGATTAAACCTAATTTTAGTTCCATTAAAAAAAAACTTTATACATTTATTTTATGTCCAGTTTTGAATTAGGGTTTTTTTTTAAAAAGACTTGTTTATTTTTATTGCTGAGTCAGCTATATATAGAGAGGAGGAGAGACAGAGAGGAAGAGCTTCCATCTGCTGATTCACCCCCCAAGCAGCCACACTGGTCGGAGCTGAGCTGATCCAAAGCCAGGAGTCTGGAGCCTCTTCTGAGTCTCCCACGAAGGTGCAGGGTCCCTAGGCTTTGGTCAAACCCCAACTGCTTTTTCAGGCCACAAGCAGGAGGAGGCTGAATGGGAAGCTGGGCCACTAGGATTAGAACCGGCGTAATATGGGATCCTGGCACTTGCAAGGAGAGGACTTTAGCCACTAGACTGTTGCACTGAGCCCTTGAATGAAATCTAATGCTTGTTTTAAATAATTATTGCTTATTATTATTTAAAAATTATTTGTAAATCATTATTTAAAAATAATTCCAATATTGAGTTATAATTGCAGTGTTGAAATGAACAAACTTTGTAAACACTTTGCATTGGTGCTGTAAGTGTCTGATTCCTAGAAGCAGTTTTTTATTTTCTTCATCTAAAGTAGGAGTGTCTGTTTCTAAACAGCATCCTGGAGGGTGATGGATAATTTTATGCCAGATTTTTAATACTGAAATTGATTGCCAATTTTCCTGTATTTTTGTTTTATTTAATGAAATAAGGACTTTTGGCGTGAGATATGCCATCTTAACTATTTTTAATTGTGCAATTCAGTGTTCACTGGGCAGGATATTGTACAGCAGACTTCAAGACTTGAATATATATATACATACATATTCATATATACGCTTCATTTTCCCCGTGCTCTTATTGGTAGATATTTTTTCTGCTTTTTGCATCTATTCTAAATATTGCTGCAGTAAATAGAACTGCTAAGTGTCTCTTCGATTTGCAATTTTTTTTAAATTTTTTAAATTTGCAGAGAGGAGAGACAAAGCTCTTCTGTCAGCTGCTTCACTCCCCAAGTGACTGAAATGGCCGGAGCTGAGCCGATCTGCAGCAGGGAGTTTCTTCCAGGTCTCTCGTGCGGGTGTTCAGTTCCAGGGCAGTAGGCCATTCTCTGCTGCTTTCCCAGGCCACAAGCAGAGAGCCCAGATAGAAATGGAGCAGCTGGACACAAACCAGTG